CATTGTTGTTTGGCGGGTCCGGGCTGGGGATTTGAACCCGCCACCTTAGGTGTACGTGGCTGGCGCCTTAGCCGGTTGAGCTATAGGCGCCGAGCCTTTTGTTCCTTTTTGATTTTTTTTTTTACTACTTATACAAAAAGGGCTTGTTTAATCCAATCCGTGATTTTCATTTAATGTCTCTGAAGTTGAATTTTCTAATTTTATTTCTATTTTTCTTTCCAGCATCCTTCTACCATACACTGACATTATCAGAAACTAATGTATTCTGATTCGATCTTATTCCTCCACGTTTGCTGGAATGACTTGTGTAGCCGTGTATATAGCATGTCCGCCTCACTGCTGTCCTCACTCCCAGAGTACTGGATGCACCAGCAAACAGTTTAGAACTGTGGCCCCTCAGAAGGAATTTGGGAGGCTCACTTACAATGGAGATTTTATTTAACTATAGTAAAATGCCTTCTAATTTGTTCCGTGTCTGTTTTCGTGTAGCTGCCTTTTCCTTTCTTGCCTACTTTCATTTTATTTCCCATTTGTATTTTCTAAACTACCTACATGCCTTTATTATGACTTATCTTCTGTGGTGTTTAAAATAAATGCCTTTAGCAGCATAATAACCTGTTTCTCTTTTTCAGACCATTAAGATTGATCTTAAATAAATTTAGGCCTAACTGCAATTCTTTGTCTCTCTCCTAAGTTCTTATCACTGTTGTTCATTTGGAAATTAAACAAAGGGTAATAATAAACTCCCTGTTCTGTGACTTGCCTTTATTTAGGATTCTACTCAATTGCAACACAATTTAAATTTACTCCTTCAATGCTGCTATGAACCTGAGTAAAAGGAAATGAATAAAAATGAGTTGTCAGGACTTCAACCTTGACCTTTCCTTTTTCTCTTCTTGACTTTCATGCTGTTTTTGATATGGGTCACGTGATTCTGCTTGTTTCTTTTCAGGCTATGTATATTTGAATGTCATCTGCTTCTTTGATTTCAGAGTCCCTTTAAATTCTTTCTTCTTGTCTGTGTCATCCTGTGGCCATTCCATGGCTTCCTTCTGCAATGCTCACTCTTCCACAAACGCACAGTTTTTTTTTTTTTCCCAAAAGCTGACTGAGCACAGCTTCCATTTCTTTTCTGTCTCTTGCTCCATGCAGGTGCTGAAATCTTCCTCTGCCCATCCCTGATGAAGACCAGATTCTAAACTGGCGAGTATCTTTTTCATTCTTTCTTAGGTATGCAGATTTGAGAGCATTTTGAACCTACCTTCTTCTGTCAAATTCATTTTCAGCATTTTGAAATGCCTTTTCTTTTTTAGATTTCAAAAACTATTCCAAATTATGAGCAAATGTTCTTCAGAATTTTATCTAAGAGCATGAATTTTGTAGACTGATGGGCTGGGGCTCAAATTATATGATTGCTTTTTGTGAGTTGCTGGATTAAGATTATCAGTTATAGAGACTGCAAAAATCAGTGGCTTAATCAAAGGGATGTTTGTTTCTTTTTCACATCAAAAGGTAATTTAGAGAGAGACAATCTAGGACTGGTGAGATCTACAGTTTTATGAAAACTGGACTGATTCCACGTTTTGGATCTACCATGCATAAAATGAGGCCCTTGATCACATGATCCAAGATGGAGTTTCAGCCACAACATCCAAGTTATACACGTAGTGGAAATGAGGGAATAAAGGAGAAAGGGAAAAGCTAGAGCCCAGGGTCCTCTAAGGAATTCCCTGGGTACTGTCATACACTTCTGATTACTTCTTACTGCCCAGAACTTAGTGATAAAACCTCACCTCGCTGGACTAGATTCTGAGAAATTGTTCTTATTCCAGACAGTGATTCACAACTAAGAAAAGGGGGAAAGGTGTTTCATATCATCCAGGAAAAAGGAGAAAATTAACTTGGGGATATATAAGTATACAACTATTCTAAACCTCTTTTTTTCTTGACTAATAATAACTATCTCATAGATTTTTAGGATTAAGAGAAGTATTATATAATAAAGTGCCCAATACAGTATCTTGTAAGAAACAAGCTTTCAGTAAACGTTACTTTATAGTCTTCCCTAATCCTTTTCCTTGATTGTCTAGTTTCTCTGCTGCCACGTCATTGGCCTCCAAATCCTATTTTAAATACTTAGGCGTTTGCCCCACATGGTGGGCAGACTGCTATGTTAGACTGTGTACTGGAAGGGAGGTGGGGTGTCTGAGTGGCAGAGAGCAACACATTGTTACTCAAGGTCAGCATTTATTTGTAGCTTTAAAACATAGCTTAGGTTGAAAACATGGCTTGGGAAGTCAAACAGACATGGATACCATGTCTGCCTCTGCCACTTAGTATGCAGAGGCCATTAGAACCATGGCCTCTTTCTCAATTTTCTTATCTGTGAACTGCAGTAGTAGTCAAATATGAGGATTAACTGGGGGAAAAAAGTATCCAAAGTGCTTAATACTGTACCTGATAAAGCAAGTGGTAGTTTTTGGTTTTGGCTTAACCTGGGTAGGCCTTTCCAAAAATCAACTCTTGACCTGTTTAAAAAAGGAAAGAAAGATGTTTTAAAATTGGTTATCTCCACATATACCCAAATGACACTGTTAACTTCTTATTAATCAAACTTTTTAGAATGGTCTCTAAAATCAATTTTTCACCCAAATAACCACAAACCTTTTCCTATTATCTTTTGATCAAAAACAGAATAGCCAAGCCTTAACCTTCCCCAGCCTTGACTTGAATGTTCTTAGACAGATGTGCGCTTAGAAGCTGAAAGTTATGACCATTTAATATATTTTGTAGTATTTTTTTTCAGCATCTATTTATTAAGCATCTATCTTGTGCCAGGCACTATGCAGGGTTCTGGGGATGCAACAACAGTAAGCAAAAATGTCCAGGATCCCTGCCCTATGGGAGGTCTGGGACCTTACTGGGGGAGACAGGTGAATCAATCACTGAGAGGGAATGAAAAATTGCCTTTGTGAAAGTTGTTAGAAAGGAGACAAGAAGCCTCTGTAAAAGCATATGCAAATGTCTTCTGGCCTGAGGCCGAATGGTGACTTTAGGAACAAAAACTTGGACAGTGGACTGAAGTAGTGG